TCCCTGGGAAAAGGAGCCTGCCGGAAACGCGCGCACTCGGCAGGAAGGTTCCGATGCCGCAGCCGGCCCCTCCCACGCGGGAGACTCGAGGGAGCGCGCTGGACTGGGAGAGGACGAGGACCTGCCGGTGAGCTCGAGGAGGTCCCACGGGCATCGCCACGCCCAGTCGGTCCTTTGCACCAAGCCACCCTCCTCCCCAGGCAGAGTCAACCAGTAAAGTGGAGGGCAGGAGAAGGGTTACTTCGCCAGATACGGAGTGGGAAGGTGTGTGCTTCCCACTGAACTCGTGGGGAAACTGAGGCCCAGAGCGTCCAAGCGTTTGCAGATAAGCAGCTGCACAGTGGCCATGTCCTAGCAGAGCCGGAAGGGGCTGGGCTGTTGGTGCTGGAAATGATGCTCAAGGTTCTGAAGACCTGAGTGCAAATGTGGTTCACCTCCCTTCATCTGAGTCGCCCCACAGCTAAAGGCCACCACCCCGTGGGGCTGCTACATCCACCATCCTGAACCAGTTGACATCCTGGACGCTGGCTGCCAAAAGCAGTCATATTTGGTTGTGACCACAAAGTGTCTTTTCTAACTTGCTGCTGGACAATACGTTGAAAGCCAAGCAATGCACAAATTTGAATTATCAGATATGCATCCGGGGAGGTCTCTGGTTGTGGCAACAATCAGCTGGAGCTGAGCAAGTGTCTGTCTTCTTGGGAAGACCGCACGTGAGCCAGCCGCTGCTCTGGGCTGAAGTTTAACACCCCCTAAGGTTGTGTAGCCTGCCAAGGTAGCCACTGCCCCCGCCCCGTCAGTGCCCCTCAAAACACTCCAAACAGCCATCATTTTTGCCCCTTTTGGAAGTCCCCTCATGTGAGTGTCCCTACAAGGAGTGGGTGCTGCTGCCAGTCACCATCGAACAGAAGGCAGGCGTCTCAAAATGTGTGCATCAGCATCCACTGTATACACCAGATCCAGCGTCACGCAAGTTCTGGCTCTTCCCCACTCTGCGTGACAGTGACCGGCAATGTTATCAGTGGATTCAGAACACTGAGACAGCCACAACAGCACAGTAAATACCTCACTGGAAAGGGCTTCCAGAATGGCTTCAGAAAGTGACAAGGATGACAGTGCAATATGAGCGTGTTCGAACCAAGGGGAGTATTCTGAGGGAGATGCATGGCAACACCCTCTGCATTTGATCTGGTTCCCCTTCCTGCCCCTGGGCCACCATTCTCCAATACCTTCAACTATTCCGCCTACACCAGGGCTTCTGGATGGGCGCCACTGGACTTCTGGGCCGGATGCTACATTGTGACCCCATCCTGGGCTGTGAAGCGTTCGGCTGCAGCTTGGCCACCACCCCCACATGCCACTGGCACCCTCAGGTCACAACTCAGCGCACCTCAGGGTATCGCCCAGGGACAGTTAAAGCTGCAGATTTGCACAGTGTCCCCCCCCCCACAGCTAATCCCTCTCGAGTCTCAGATCCACATAACAGTTCCATCCCTTAAAGCCATGGGTATCCCACTCTGACCCCCGAAATGGTAGCAATGATGAACATTAACAGCCCTTCCTCAGTGACAACCACGACTAAATGCACTGAATCCCCAGAGCAGGTCTGCAGGGTCGATCCTAGAGGTCCCTGTTTTACAGTCGTGCTCGTGAAAGGTCACACAGCCAGAGCAGAAGAGCCAGGCCAGCTCCTGCTCCTGCCTGGCCTCAGGGCCAGTAAGCACTGCACCCTTCTCCCTGCCCCACTCCTAGCTCACCCCTGGCTCACAGCAATGGCCACTCCATCCACCCTGCTTCCTCCAATCACCTCTCCATGGCCACATCCAGGCAGTGTTTTTAAGCCCACAGATTCCGCATTAAGGCTCCTGACTTGTAGGGAACAGGAAAAGGGGACGTTATTAGAACCTCTGTAGTAAGTCCTAGTCTCCTGCAAGCCACAATAGCACAAGGTGAATTAACTTATTATACAGGCAAGATAGGAAAAATGAGACTTTGAGAAGAAGTTGAGCTTTGGGCCTGATCAGTTCTGCGCTGGTGGCAAAGAAGGAAGCCCCAGAGCTTGCAACACCTTTCAGTGCACTTGGAGAAACAAATGTAATAAATGTCTGGGAACAGAGAGCTCAGTACACTGGGAGAAACAAATGTAGCGAATGACCCAGGGGCAGCATAAGTCCTAGAGCAGTGAGGAACTGTGCAGATGAAGGTTTGGTTCCTCCCTTTGGAGGTTTGGATGTCTCCACCGGTGTGGTCCTGCCCTGGAGCATCACAGCATCTCAGGACCCTTGAAGTCTTAGCTGTGACCGGAGGCAAAGATGGAGCTGTGTCCTGACATGCCTGTAGCTGGCCTGTAGACAGGAATATTAGGCCCTAATCATGATTTTCCCCCAAAATTATGTAGAATTGCTCCCGACACTGACTTAAAGTCCTTCTTGCTGTGCTTAGAATAGAGCCCCAAAGCCCTGATGACCCCAGATAGACCTGACCCTGGCTGCCTTGACCTCCGGCCCTCGGTGCCAGGGTGCTGCCTTTCTGCAGCTCAACTCGACCACCCACCCACCTCTCTGTAGGCTGGGAGAGTGGTGCACACCTGCGACCCTAGCGCTTGGGAGGCTGAGACAGGAGTATCTTGAGTTCTAGGCCAGGTGGGGCTAAATAGACCCTGTCTTAAAAAACAGCAACAACAACAAAAAGCTGGGGCCTTGTGTTTGCTGTTTTCTCTGGGATGTCCTCTCTGCCCCTCAGAAGGATGGTGCATCTCAGGCCATTTCGATCCCCGCAGCCTGTCGTGAGGGTGTCAGCTAGGCAGGCAAGACCTACGGTCTGGTTGCTCTGTTTCCTGCCAGCCCATGAGGGCCTTGCATACTTATTGGCCTACAGTGTGACTGTCTGCCTCCCCTCTCCAAAAGGGCCCAGCTCTGTCCAGGCCAAAATTCCATCTTCAGGGCACAGGCCCCAGTGGTGAGGGGCAACATAGGACACAGGTTGAATGGATGAATTTCATCGTCCTCACTCCAAAGTCAAGCCTGGCGTTGCTGCCCTCTCCTTCAGAAACCTCACCTGTCACTTCCTGGGTGTGAGGGTCATGGAGACCTCACCTGTGACAAGTACAAACGTGCACAGCCACAGCCCCTTGCGCCCCAGAACCAGCTGGGCACCAGGTCCTGCCACCTCGCTTTCCTCACAGGACCCAGCAGCTTCTCCCGGAAATCCTGGTCTCCAGCCCTTCCCTGCACTGGCCTGACAGATCCTCCTCCTCTTGCTGGGCATCTGTCGCTGGGCATCACTCAGAGCCTTTCTGTGGCCCCCAGTGGCTGTGGAATGAAATCCAAGTCTCTTGGCCGGGACTCTGAGACGTGGGTGAGAGGCTCGTCCACCTCCCCTCACCCTCATCTGGTCTCCGTCCACACACGGCCCTCACAGCCCGGGCAGATTTGGCACAGAGCCTGATCCATCTTCCCTCGGCCTCTGCCCTCAAGAGCTGGCTGCACCGCTCCTGAATTCTGCGTTGTCACCTGCCAGGCCCAGAAGGGCTGATCTACCACCTCCATGTAACCCCTTCACCTCTGCAGGCCTCTCGCGGCCCACCGCAGCCTCCTTTCTCTCCCCCACCTGACTAGACAGCCACCGAAACCCTTCCCATTTCCCTGTTCATGCCTCCAGTTTGGAGCCTTTGTGTCTGGGCTCCTCTCCCTCCTGCCAGTGCTGTCCGACAAACTCCTCTGCCCTCAGCAGTTGCCCTCTCCAGCCTCACCCCTGATCGGTGGTCCACATCCTCCTAACTTCACATTCCTGTCCCGGCCTCACTCCTGCCACAGCCCAGGCAAGCTGGAGCAGCCCTAGCCTTGGGGAGGGCCTCTGGTGCACTGCCGATCTCCAGGAAGAGAGGCAGAGTGACCTCCACTCCTCCTGCCCAAGGTTTCTCAGAAGCCTTTCCGGATGTCCTCTCCTCTCAACTTCTGAGATTTGCCCTTGTTATTTTGCTTCCTTGTACATTGAGCCCCACTCCCCTTTGGAGAGTAATGGGATTCCAAATCTGTACCTCTGGGCCAGTTGGGCTCCAAGTAATCCACTCCCTGGGCTTTGTGTCCTCCAGTCTCTACCCAGCCTCCAATGCCCACTATTCTGCCCACACCCCATCAGTCCACTGGGCAGGATGACAATGCTGCAGCTCCTGGGCCTGTCCATCCCCTCCATTAGGCCTGGCAGGCCAGAAGTGGATGCAGGGATGACTTCCAGGGATGCTTGACACCCCAAGTAGGAATTGGGGATGGACCCATTTGGAGAGTCAGGAAGTACCTGAAACAGCCTCACTAGAGAAAGGTTCCCAGGTTATTCGGGTTCCTGCCTTACCACAGCAATATAAAAAGAATCAAAATTAATATTTACTGGAGCCTATCACTGCAGACAACACACCATGAGTTACCTACCATATAAAGAAGCTTAGGTGCATTATGTGCTACTGTTTTAGTTACTTTCTCATTGCGAAGACAAAATACTCAACACCTATAAATTAAGGGAGGAAAGTTTTATTTCAGCTTACATTTGTAGAACTTTCAGTCCATAGCTGACTCCAAGGCAGGGCAGCAGGGCAGAGGGGACATCACAGAGGAGAGACGGTCCATGGCGGAGTAGACAGGACACAGCAAAGGTAATAGCGAGCCTCCTTTTCATTCATATCTCATGCAGGCTACAAGTGGTTGGAGCCTCTCACACCATACCCAAAGTTACACTAAGCCAATTAGTGGGCTAATTTAGTTATCATACACCCCTGATCCATATTCATACACCCTAGCTTCAGCCACCTCCAAAAGGCCCCACTTGGTGTGAACAAGGGTTTGGATGGACATCTAGATAGAAGCCATGACAGCCACCTTTGTACAGTAGGTGGTCTCCGTACACCACTCCTGATATCTGGATGCCTCCCTTCCTTCTATGCACCTTGGTTTAGAAACTGTGTCCAGTTTTACGAAGTTCCTCCTAAAGAGTGATGGATTCCAGTCTATAAAAAGGGGCTGTGGCAGAGCCAGGGTTCCAATGAGAACCCAACCCCTACCTCTCAGCCCTGCCCAGGGATGGCTAGAGGGAGACTTAAAGGGTCCACAGGCCTCAAAAAGGGAGTCGCTTTCCCCCAGTCACACAACAAGTGACCGGGACCCAGGCGCTGCTCTCTGCACCAGAGATAAGAGGCCCCATGGATCCTGCATTGTCTGTCCTCCACCCAGCCCTGTGGCCCTGGACAGTCCAGGTTTGAACATCCTAAGGAAGCAGGCACTGAGCAGGCAGCTGGGGCCCACAAACGGAGCCCTGCATGAAGCACCGCCTTGGGAGACTGCAGGAGCCCTCCAGGG